ATGCCTATGCTGTAGATTATCAATAATGAAGGCGTATCATATGTATTTCATAGGCAGTTTCCCTTCTTGCACTAATAAACTCCTGCTCTCATTTAAAAAATTAAAAAACTGACTTTTGAAAGAAAATTGGAGAACATATCAATCAATGCCTATATTTTCCCCTACAGGATATATTCATGCACAGCACATTACTCTAGTTTGTACAGTATGTAATTTGTGTATGTGACTATACATTATGTACTGTACATATTGATTTGTGGTCTATGATGTCTGTCAATATGACTGTGGTATAAGCTGTTACTAGCATTGTTTGATCTAGATCAAATTACATGTATGCTAGTATACACTTGAATGAACAAAAGAAACCCAGACAGAAAAATTAGAACTACCTATAGAAAGATGAGCCTGTACACAATTATAGGCATTTTCAGTGTAACATATATGACATCAGAACACTTTTTGGTTCTAGTTTTGGTGTGAAATAGAAGCTAGGTATTATACTCTGAACATATACATGTAGATACACATTGCAAAACAATTGTATTTTACATTTCCTCGTAATAGCTTTAATTGTAGCTGACGGCCATGACACTTTTGTCCACTTTTTATAAACACCTATAGCTTTGCTTTAATATGTTAAATGTGTAATGGAAAGCTCTTATCATTAATCTTTGATCCCTTCACCATAACTAGGGACACTGATTTTCCGTTTCAAAAAATGGCCTTTTACGTTTCAGAAAATCTTGAATTCCGTTTCAGATGGGCTGAAAAACGGAAATTCCGTTTTGCCATAGACTTTGTACACATGAAAAAACTAAAATTCCGTTTACATAAGATTTTCATTAAAACATGAACTTGTAGGGTACAAAAGTTCTATTAAAGCCGCCTCCTTTGACAAGCCACTGATAACCACTCAAAAACATACGGACGGGACTGGATAAACTAGATCATCTAGTTTATCCAGTCCCGTCCGTAGATGCAAAATACTAGTGAAAATATAGACGCCTACGGGCCCTAGAGTCTAGGCTAGACCTACGAAAAATTATCAAATGTTTAGATTTACCAACTTCAAATTCGAACTTAGACTAGCAGACTAAATTCAGCGGAATGTATCAGAACACGACATATTCTTGACGGAAATGCTGAGTAGTACCGACGTCAAGAAAACATTTTCGGTCTTGGCTGTCATGTCCGCGATCGATCAATTTTAGGCGCACATGCCAGCCCCTTTTTCGAACTGTACAACAGCGTGTGTACAATCTCGCCGCATGTAGCGCCCGCTACTGGCGTGTGTGTGCCTAGTATTATGTCTACGTAATACTAGGTGCCTAGCTGGCATAATCGGATCGTTTCGCTGTTATTTGTACCGTGTTTTACGTCATGATCTCTATTGGTCCAGCGAAACAAAATGGCAGCGCCCGGTCTCCTAAGAATCTGACGAATATCGCTAAATATTCGGAATTATTAACCATGATTTGAGGCCCAATATGTTTTCACTGCAAAACGAGTCGCAAAAATAGTGTAAGTTTTACGATTTTCTTCTTGAAAAATGAAAAGTTTTGGGGTAAAAGGGGTTTTCCGCGATTTTCCGTTCGAAATTGCATTTTCCGTTTCAAATGGTCAATTCCGTGAATTCCGTCCGTTTTCCGTGATCGCGGAAAATCAGTGTCCCTACATAACTTACAACCAAAGAATCAAATATGAAGCGATTATGGTGTGGAATAATAAGATCCAAAGGTTGGATGTTTTTACTACATGTACATGCTGTATGTTGCCATATTTTGCCCTAAAAAAGAATTTTACAGAGAAAATTAATCAAAAAATGCCTAAACATACTTTACTTCAACTGATACCACTTCAATCTTGTTGAGCTCTTTTGTTTGGTACACTACCAAATTTGTTACAGTAGAACACATATTTCTAGAGTTATTGCCAATTTTATGATTTTTGGTTAGTGAACATTTTCCATGAAATTGCCCAAATGCATCTGGTCAGCACAATCTAACAAGTACTGTAGTAAATTATTCATGTTGTGTTGGTTCAGTGTATGACTAGTATCCATGGACAATAATGCAGCATCACCAAATTGCAAAGGCATCAACACTGAGTTGATTATTTTCATTTCATTCAAATCTCTATGAAAAGAATCAGACTTTTTTTCATTATTTGCTAAAAGAAGAAGCATTACAATTTCTAGGTCATCTACCTGTAATTCTATTATTGGAAGAATTGATCGCATGTGAATGAGTAAATAAGCTTACACTACAGATAGGGCAATGAAAATGAGAAATATTGTTGGAGGCTCAGATCATAGAAACCTAAACCTTGGCATGCCTATCTATTGATCTTTGGGTTCTGGCATTGGTATCAAAGCCAACCGCTTGATATGTACTGCCGGCTTCCAAGTGGAGTGCTGTTTACACATGTTACCGATGGGAATACTTAGGATGCCTTAGCTACATGACCTTTATGTGCATAGTAGTACATTGGTAGGTCAGATCTATCTTCAGATAAAACATTCATGTTGCATGAATGTAGAAACTGAGAGTGTATCACAAATAACATCTTGTGAAAGAAGTTCTCAATCATAGTGCCTTTTTAATTGTTAACATTTATTATTCCATGACATATCTGATTTTACAATTCATGAGCCCATTTTGAATTTCAAGCAGGTTTTCTTAAAAGCTTTTGTTGTATGTATTTCTATTTTGGGGGTATATTTGGGGTGAATAAAACCATGTACACTGCACATGGCTGTTTGAAAGGGTTAGAAAAACAAGTATAACAATAGTCACAAAAAGAATGCTTATGATTAAGTTCAGTTTTGAGGTTGTTTTTTACATAATATTTTTTGAGATTATTTTCCTTCCTCATATTGTGCTGATAGCTGGATGCAATAAGATATCCATAGTTGTTGCCACATAGTACATTGTAGGCCTAATTGTATTTTCTTTGAAAAGGGAAACGTAATTACTCTTCTGCAGATGCCTTAATTGCTTGAATGCAAAAACAACATTGATACATAACACAAGAATCCTTTTCTCCAGTAGCCAGACTGCTGTTTAATAGAAGACCCTGCCCATAACAGGAACTAGCCCAAATTGACCCCCACTACTCAAACCTCCTCCTCATTAATCTTACAACTTATTCCTACAATACAATGAAAGGCAGAGGGAGATCCAGAAGGTCCTTGGTCCAACCCCGGTCTTAATTTCCGTCCAGTCCCAGGGTAATTGCTCACTTTGCTTTGGTTCACTCTAGGCCTCGATTGAAGAACTCACGCCTTGTTTTTAGTCCTTGATAGTTTATAAAGCAACCATGTTTATCCGCAAACTAACATTACATAGGCATACATGCATGTACATTTTCGGATGATGAAAGATACTACTACTTGTGCAAATAAAGTCATTAGGAAATCTTATTTTGTTTATGATTACAACCAACTGCCATCTTACCGTTTCTTTTATTTCAAATTCATAAAGTAATCAATGGGCTTGATTCAATTTTTGTTACATAATTGCTGAAAATCTATGTCATACATGAACTACAGGTTATACAATCTTTTAAAATAGACTTGATAAATTCAAATTTTCATTTATCATTTTTCATATTTTCTATTCACTTCAGAAATATATATAAACAATGCAGTACATGTGAAAGTCTTGGGAATTCAGTAGTTTTCTGTACTGACAGAAAGGCAAATCTTTTCAATTTGTGTTCGGAAATGTCGTTCATCTGCTAATTTTCCTTATCAGCCATTTCTGTCACTTTCTTCTTAAAGCCCTTAAAACCTTTTGCAAATGCATGTAGCCTTGTCAGTTGTCAGTTCCGCACTTTCATGGGGTATATCAGCAAAAAACTTCAAGACTAATGACTTGTAAGGAAGTCAGGATTTTGACAAGCTTCCCAAATTTCTTAGCCTACCACTCTTTCCTCCTTGACGTTCCTTTTCCCTTTACGTACTTGTAGCTCCCTTAATGGCGTTATCTGCATCAAGCAAAAATTGTGATAATGATGTACAATTTCCTAGCAGTGCTGAAATATACAGCGAACCCTTAGATCAGTTTGAAATGGAATAATGCAAGTCACACTGCTGTGCGATAAATGCTTGAATAACCAGTGCAATAATAGAAGTTGGGTATGCTGCAAATGTTTGTAAATGATTCGCTTTCAATGTCGGTCATAATGAGGACCAAGTTGCAATGACATTTCTTCCTCTTTGCACTAAAAAGATATACCGGTATACAAAAATATATTGTTTTTAAGGAGTGAATTAACACTGTTTTGGCTTTTGGCAGATGCTATTGCCTTGCATAAATTTAGAAAGATTAAAAGGAAGATCAAGTATCCTCAATTTAGCATCCTTCAGATCTCTAAAATTTGACATTTACATGAACAAGCATTGCTTTATTCTGGAAGGTCTGCTCAAACCAGAAGGCTACCAGTCAAATATCAAATCTCGATTGCAAGGTATGGGTCTAAAGGATATCACACTCAGATCAATATTGGTTTCCCGAAAGCACCTGTGCATGCCGGGTACAAACAGGACAAGTTGGAAATGACAGTTGTTGTTTGATAGAGGTGTTAATGACATAGCTTCAAAGGCATCGGTGTCTTGGTTTCGTAGAACACCAGCTGCCGGATTCTGATTGTAATTGACACTTGGCATTAAGACGTGTCCTTTGACTCTACCAGAATGCCGGTTGATAGGGTCGAGGCTAACAGACTTCAAAATGTGCAGAGTTGCATAGACTACAAGAAGTTACATTTTACCGTCTGTACTCGGAAGTTACATCCAGTCTAAACTCCACAATGTTACACACAGTGTGGGTACATGATCAATGAATCCAATCAAGTCACTGTTCTGTGTTCACATGCACTATCTACCAACAATCCGTCTTTTTAATGTTTCAACCCTGCCATTATTACTATTCATAATGAATTTCTCCGTTTTGCAGCACCCATGGAGAGCTTTCTATTGATTCCTGTGTATCCCTTACCTTCAGACTGTTGATGACCAAGTCTCTGGCTTGAAGCTCTGCCTCCAATAATCCTAGAAGCTTCATCAAGTCGGACTTTGAAAACTCCATGATCCCCTTCTCTTTGGGATGCTGCTTCTGTAAAGAAATAGAAAAGAAAAGAAAGGAATGACTAACAATGCTGGAAGAAAACGTATCACAAGTAGCAAAAAGAAATCATAATTCAAACCAAGTTATCATATTTAGTTCCTGTATTGTAGGCTGTATTTCAATCTTACCAAGCATAATAAGAATCCCAACACAAATGATAGGGGTTTTCCCCACAACATCAAGATGTACATGTATGAGCTGTCACATGTCTCTGGGATTAACACTCATAAATCATACAAGGTGCACAGAAGTTAAATTCATTTTTTGGCAAACAATCCATGAAATGTTTCCATGGAAAGTTGGAAACCATAACTGTTAATCATCAGAATAGTTGAGGAAACAATTCTCCCATTTCTTTGAATTGTCAATGTAATTCATCATCTATGACATGCTTTAGTCAACCTAAAAACATGTCGATGGCTATGTTTAAAGGGGAAGAGATGCACAGGTTAGAGAAACACAATGTCCTGAAATTCACAGAAAAGTCCCAATTTATTGTCACCATGAAATCCAGATAAGCTTCAGATCAGTGTGATCATGGAGTACTGTCCATGGTGAGATGGCAATCAAAGACCTCCTGAGGAGTTTCATGAATCACAAAGTCGGACAAAGATCCTCAGTTCCACACTTAAGTCTTAACAAATGTACATATTATGAATGATCCAATAGTCAATCTGCATCTGATTAGATACTACAGTCTTTCGCACTGCATTCATGAAGCTCTATGGAATAGTCTCAACCATTATAGGGAAGCCTTCTTTGCTTTGCACAACACAAAGATTTACAATACCAACTTATTGTAGTATATTAGAGTTCCTGAGGCAGTTGATAACTGAACAAATGTGATTGTGTGTAATACATGGAATGATGTAATTATCCAACACCATTCATTGAACTACATTTGACTTTTACAGTGTATAATTACTTTACTGATGTTAGTTCCAAATTACAAATGTGCAGATTTGATCCAATAACAAAACTTAAGGGTAAAGTGTCCAGGCTTCTGTTGGTCGTGCTGCAACACACATAATGCCATTTGTATGCTAAAAATTATGATTCCTGGATTTCACAAAATGACCTCATCAGCTGCGTTCCAAAGACCATCCCCAATCCTGGGATTTCATTCCCTTATGACTGCTCCTCGCTTGTGTATCAAAAACCTTCTTACAACCAAATGACTCACAAACACACACTTCTAATAGGGACACTAGAGAGATCTGCATACACTAATCCTATCTCTTCAAAACCAATATTAAACAAAAAATAATCATAATGAATTTCTTGCGGGGCACATTCTATAATGCCCTGGCAGAATTGCACAAAAGATGATACATTTAATGAGTCATGACTCGATCTATCAAGTGATTTGTCACCATGCAGCAATAATAACATTCCAGAGTCAATATGCAGGGTATGGGAAACAGTCAGAATGAATAAATGCTACAGACTACTATTGGTAATAAAGCTTGACTATTAAAACAACTAATTCACTGCCCCAATTAGAGATATTAGCGATGAGTCAGTACGTTCATCATTGGTGTATTTTTTGTTATATAGAACGATGCGTTCATTCCATTCATGCTCAATTTAACATCTGGGAAATGAGACAATAAGCAATTAAGCATCCAAATGTATTATAGTTAAATATAATACTGTAACTTGATCTCTCATTTATTTACTTTCAGAAAGGGTACCATGTACAATGTACCACTCTCCTGCACAGACACATTAGTAGACAAAAAGTTACATGTACGTACAGTATGTACTTTAGTTACATAGCACGGTCAATGGTTCAATGTTGATGAACATCACATTCATACATGTATCACATCAACAGCAAAGCGACATGAACATTTACACTCTCATTTATGCCTGGGTTCATTATAATATTCCAAGAAATGAACATGTATATATTTCCATAGAAATACAATAAATAGTTAATTCCCACTAATTCTGTCAGAGAAAAAAAAAAGTCTTTTCTTTCAAACGGTACATATGGACCAGGAAATGTTTGACAGTGAATTCAGAATGTCAATAAAGTTTTAGTGTGAACCTATTGACACCTTTCAACCAGATTAAATTAACAAATCAATTTCCTTATAATACTATAGAGGTGTAAGACTGCCCGGGTAGCACTCAATGTTACTCATCTAACCTTGCCATCTTCGGACAAGTACCCTTTGTTTGATGTTTGTTTTTCATGAGTCATGGGTCTCCCTGTTGGATTTGATATTTTATGACTGCTTGTGTGTACTTTACAATCTACAATGTCAATTACAAAGTAAATCATTGTTATGTAACATGTCACACAGACATTTCAGTTGCCTTGTGCAGTGTGCCCTATTTCTCTTTTCCTCGAAAGCTGATATTATTAATCGATTCACTCTCATTACCTAAAAAGTAGGGTACTACATGTGTATGAATGACTATCAATACAAAGTATAGAAATACTTCTGCAAAATTCAATTACAGGTAAATAATCTATCAAAATTGCACATTTGTACAGGTTGAATTGGTCATCTACAGAGGCTATTCTTTTCATATGAAAAGTGACTGCTCTATTTGATAATTGATATTGATCTACACATATATATATTTATCTAAAAAATATTGATGGCATTATTATGCAAAATTCTGTTCAATGAGTCTTGACTGTATCAAATCTGGAGGCACTGATTCACAAAATCAAATTGGCTCACTCCTACTTATGAAAGTCCTAAAAGAATATAACTGTTTTATTGTTGAATAATGAGATATTTTTAAAAGTTTGGATATCTAAATTCACATTTTAAAGTTTTTTCCACAATGGAATTCCTGAAGTGACATAATAGAGCAATTCTTTTCAGAATGAAATATTTCTAGTTCAAGAGCAAGAATGGTCTCCATATAAGGGCATAATTGGGATAGCAGCTAGAGGGCAAGGATTAGAAGCTAGCTGAGGGGGCACTCCACTCTACAGCATGGGGTTAGCAATTAGACCCAACCTCTCTGCAGTCGAGTGACATGTCTCTACTATTTGAAAAGGACTAATTAAAGGAACGTCTTAGGGTATTCACAGTAGTCATCATTTTGACCTTGGCCTTCCAAGTGCAGTAAAGATTTGAAAGCCTGTATCAAACTGTGCATGCCTAGCTACAAAGTCAATATAGCCAATATTCTGCTCAATCTCAAAGCCAACACTACATAAATGTTAAGTTAAACAAAGGAAGTTAGAAAGATGTCTTACCATGACCTACGTCTTAGTCCTACATGTGACCTGAATTCATGTTGTAGGATACATAGAATATATTTCATGTTTATTACTTTTTATATCCTCCATACATGTACATGATAAATGTAAACATTTATTCTCTTTTTTTCTAGTAAAAACCCAGGGCGCGACAAACCCGCTTGCCCGACGTCCCGGGGCACCCAAATTGAGCCGTCGGGCAAGTAAATCAAATTATCACTTGCCCGATTCGGGCAAGTGATACTTTTACAGTAATTTCCTAGTGTCCAAGAACTCTACCATTCACCCGTCAACTTCTTACCCGTCGTCAAAATCCAGAAGCAAAAAAGCGATCGTTCCGATTTCGAAAAAACTTCACAGACAGCTAGCCAGCTCAGCTAGCTCAGCGCGCATGCAACAGTGACACTTCAAGCCATGAATGCCGCTCCGCCTCCACGCACGGCCGGCCGTGAGCTAGCTAGAGACAGCTAGCGCGATCGTACCAGCTGCGAGCTTATTCGCGCTCTCTCTCTCTAGCTCTGCAGGCCGCACCGACAGGCCTTTGCTATTCTCTGATTGCCGATTGGTTGAATCACGCCAAATATGACGTCATTATTCTAGGGAAATGAACACGTGCGAATCGGAATGGAATAAACAACAGGGATTTTCTAGTAAGTACAAAAAGTCAAATGTTTGATATTTATTCATAATGACTGTTAATGATTGTGAACATATTATTTAAAACTCGCTGCTCATATAAATCAGATGAATGTTTTTGTCTCGTTTTCAATTTATTACTGCGGTCTCAAGATCCGACCGAGCGAGTCATTTTGATAATAGTATCGAGACCCCCAGAATATAAGCCGTTGTTGTTTTGTTTTCATGGTTTTAGCGACGTTGTTTAGTCTAGTTTTCGCATACTTATCCGAGATTTATCGTAAAATATCTTCAATATTATTATTTAGTAAGAATTTACAAATTTTGGCATGATATTTATAGCAGTGAATGATGAAATAAAAATGTCCGTACTTTATTTAAAATAGTTGATTACCCATTATTTACATGACGTTTCTTGATGGAAGAGTTGACCCAAATTATTAACAGCTGAAAATTAGCCTACGTTTCCAAATGACAGCGGCTTGCACAGACACACACGTGCGTTGATCAGCTGTTTTTTCTCGATTGTGCTAGTAAACATGGAGGCACCGCCTTAAAAGTTTTGGGCAAGTGGAAATATTGTTTGGGCAAGTAAATTGAAAACCCACTTGCCCGACAGGGCAAGTGGTGAAAAAAATTCTTGTAGCACCCTGAAAACCTACTAATCTAGGAACGTAGATGAACAGTATTTAACCCAAAAAAATTATGCCATGGGTAATAGCACTCAAACTGCAGGTTATTCTCATCCTAGCAGTTTCATGTCAACACAAAGCACTGCTGGGGCTCAGCTAAATACGACTCCAAAACATACACGTCCAACTAAGCAGGAAAGAATGCCAAGCATTGACGGGAGAAGGTCTTAGGCCTAGTACAATACAGTACATGTATATATCCCTACTAGTCTGTCGGCACAGCCTATATTTTTGTACGTTGACAAAGTCTGTATTGCATTGTGGCTAGAGTCAAGCTTAAAATCTAACTGACAATGACAGAAATAAAAAATTATAAGAAGTAAAATAAAATTTAAAGGAAACTTAAAATTAAATACATAAACATGACGAGTTCAGAGCAATTCAAATCTAGAAAATTAAAATTTCATATGTACCGGTACATGTACATGTAG